AATAATGCTTTTTGGAGTAATTCTAATACCTTTTCCCTCGTAATATGCAAGGTATGCACCAAGGGGAAGAATTCCGACAGCTGGAAATCTGGACCTGAAAAAGCTATGTCAAGCTACATATTCTGCACAACTCCAAATGACCTGAAACTTCACGAGGATTTTTTTAGGAATATTTAATAAATATTGGAGCAAATAAGTACCATAGGGGGCCACCGGGTGTTCCCAATCCAACTGGGCGCGCCAGGAGGCCCAGGTGCGCCTTGGTGGGTGCTGCCCTCCTCGGCCCACCTCCGGTGCCCATCGTTTGGTATATATGTCATTTTGGCCTATAAAAAAATCAGAGGGGGACATTCGGGACGAAGAGCCGCCTCCTCGAGGCGGAACTTGGGCAGGAGCAGTTTTTCCCTCCGGCGGAGTGATTCCATCAGGGGAACTTCCCTCCCGGAGGGGGAAATCATTGTCATCATCATCACCAACAACTCTCCCATCTTGGGGAGGGCTATATTCATCAACATCTTCACAGCACCAACTCCTCTCAAACCCTAGTTCATCTCTTGTGTTCAATCTTTGTATCAAAACTATAGATTGGTCCTTGTGGGTGACTACTAGTGTTGATTACATCTTGTAGTTGATTACTATATGGTTTATTTGGTGGAAGATTATATGTTCAGATCCATTATGCTATTTAATACCCCTCTGATCTTGAACATGTTTATCATTTGTGAGTAGTTACTTTCGTTCTTGAGGTCACGGGAGAAATCATGTTGCAAGTAATCATGTGAACTTGATATGTGTTCAATATTTTGATGATATGTATGTTGCCATTCTCTTGGTGGTGTCATGTGAACATCGACTACATGACACTTAACAATATTTGGGCCCAAGGGAATGCATTATGGAGTAGTTATTAGATGGTGGGTTGCGAGAGTGACAGAAGCTTATACCTCAGTTTATGCGCTATTCCGTAAGGGACCGATTGGATCCAAAAGTTTAATGCTATGGTTAGAATTTATTCTTAATACTTTTCTTGTAGTTGCGGATGCTTGCGAGAGGGTTAATTATAAGTAGAAGGTTTGTTCAAGTAAGAACAACACCTAAGCACCAGTCCACCCACATATCAAATTGTCAAAGTACCAAACACAAATTAAGCAAACATGACGGAAGTGACTATATGAAATTCCCGTGTACCCTGAAGAACACTTTGCTTATCATAAGAAACCGTTTTGGCCTGTCCTTTGTCTCAAAAGGATTGGGATACCTTGCTGCACTTTTGTTACTACTTTCGTTACTTGTTTGTTACAAATTATCTTGCTATCAAACTAATCCACAACTTACAATTTTAGCACTTGCAGACAATACCTAGCTGAAAACCACTTGCCATTTCCTTCTGCTCCTCGTTGGGTTTGACACTCTTAATTATCGAAAAGGCTACAATTGAACCCATATACTTGTGGATCATCAAGTGTGTTCACGTACCCTCGTAGACCGAAAACGGAAGCGTTAACTTAACGCGGTTGATATAGTCGAACGTCTTCTTGAATCAACCGATCAAGTACCGAACATACGGCACCTCCGAGTTCTGCACATGTTCAGCTCGATGACGTCCCTGGAACTCTTGATCTAGTAGAGGCACGAAGGAGTCGATGAGTTCCGTCAGCACGATGGCGTGATGACGGTGTTGGTGAAGTGATCAGCGCAGGGCTTCGTCTAAGCACTACGACAATATGATCGGAGGAGTAAACGGTGGAGGGGGGCACCGCACACGGCTAAGACAATTGATGTCCTAGAGGTGCCCCCAGCCCACGTACATAAAGGAGGGAGAGGGGAGGAGGCCAGCCCTAGGGCGTGCGCCATGGGGGGAGTCCTACTAGGACTCCTAGTCCTAGTCGCCCCCCTCCTTCTAACGGAGGGGGAAAGGGGGAATGAGAGGGACTAGGAGAAGGAAAGGGGGGTGGCACCCCCTTCCCTATCCAATTCGGCCTCCTCCCTTGTGGGGGGCGCACCAGCCCCTTGTGAGCTAGTTAGCCACCCTCCTATGGCCCATATCCCCTCCCCCGGGTGGGGGGGTGTGGAGGGGGGTTCCGGTAACCCCTCCGGTACTCCGGTATGTACCCGATACACTCCGGAACCCTTCCGGTGTCCGAATACTACCATTCAATATATCAGTCTTTACCTCTCGACCATTTCGAGACTCCTCGTCCTGTCTGTGATCTCATCCAGGACACCAAACATACAACTCATATAATACATATCGTCATCGAACGTTAAGCGTGCGGACCCTACGGGTACGAGAACTATGTAGACATGACCGAGACACCTCTCTTATCAATAACCAATAGCGGAACCTGGATGCTCATATTGGTTGCCACATATTCTACGAAGATCTTTACCGGTCGAACCGCTATGTCAACATATGTTATTCCCTTTGTCATCGGTATGTTACTTGCCCGAGATTTGATCGTCGGTATCTTCATACCTAGTTCAATATATTTACCGGCAAGTCTCTTTACTCATTCCATAATGCGTCATCCCGCAACTAACTCATTAGTCACATTGATTGCAAGGCTTCATATGATGTGCGTTACCGAGAGGGCCCAGAGATACCTCTTCGATACTCAAGAGTGACAAATCCTAATCTCGATCTATGCCAACCCAACAAACACCGTCGGTGATACCTGTAGAGAATCTTTATAATCACCCAGTTACGTTGTGACGTTTGATAGCACACAAGGTATTCCTCCGGTGTCCGGCATAATCTCATAGTCGGAGGAATATGTATTTCACATAAAGAAAGCAGTAGCAATAAAACTGAACGATCATTATGCTAAGCTAATGGATGGGTCTTGTCCATCACATCATTCTCCTAATGATGTGATCCCGTTCATCAAATGACAACACATGTCCATGGTTAGGAAACATAACCATCTTTGATTAACGAGCTAGTCTAGTAGAGGCATACTAGGGACACGGTGTTTTGTCTATGTATTCACACATGTATCACGTTTCCGGTTAATACAATTCTAGCATGAATAATAGACATTTATCTTGACATAAGGGAATATAAAATAACAACTTTATTATTGCCTCTAGGGCATATTTCCTTCACTTCTCCCTCAGCGTGGTCTAGCGTTTAGTCGATGCCCTTCGGCAGGCACCACCAAAGTCGGCCTCAACCTCAAACGGGGTTTCCATCCAAGCCGAGACCTTCCTCGCCCATGTGGTCCGTGCCCCCATCGCTCACTTCGATCATCCCTCCCATGCGGCCTCCGATCCAAAAGCTTTGTGCGACCATCCATTGCCTGCGGGTAAACAGAGCGGTTACTCGAGTCTTCAAAAGAATTCATCCATTTCTCGCATTGAGGTTGCTAGGATGCATCCCTTGTTTTCTACAACGCCAACGTCACCTATTGTATATGCTTTCCGGATCAATATTTTGTTACCCAATTCACCGCGGATGAGTTATTTTCTAGATCTGTTATAGGTTATACTAAACAATGCCCATAATAAAGGAGTTTTGGGGTCAAATTCTCACTAGATAATTTCTCTTTTTTCGCTCATTTTACTATGCTATGTTCAAGAACCTTTTTCGTAGTTGTATATACCAAATTACCAGTTATTATGGACATTGTTTGGTATAAACTAGAGTAACTCATCCACAGTGAATCAGTTAGTAGAGTATTGCTCCAAAAATCATACATAGGTGACGATTACACTATAGAAAACACGTGGTGCATTCTAGAAACCTCAATGCAAGGATGAATTCTTCTGAAGACTTGCTATGCTTACCCACATGAATTGGATGGCCGTGCAATGTTTTTGGATCAGAGGTGCGCATGGGAGGGATGATCAAAGAGGGCAATGGGGGCATGGTCCACGTGGGGGAGGAATGCATTGGCTTGGATGGAAACCCCATTCCGGGTCGGGGCCGACCTCCGTGAACCCTGCCGATGAGCACCGGCTCGAAGCTAGAGCATGTTGAGTGAGAAGATTTAGCAGGCACATTTGGGGAAGATCTAGATCTCACCTTGGGGATCTCTGTAGCAGGGACGGAGTGCCATATATAGGATGGTTTAAGGGTAGGACGATGTGAGGGGTTGGAGGAAGACCATGGTGGGGTTTGAAGGAAAAAACCAAGATTGAATAATCAAAAAGAAAACTTTCAGACAACCGATGTGGGCAATTTGGTTGGATGGCTCACACACTGTAGATATGGTCTTTTTTTTATGAAAGGAGATCCGCCAGTTTAGATCTTAGGTTAGGTGTTTTCCCTACTGAGTAGGACCCCTCCGGTTTAGATCTTAGGTGTTTCTTTCCTGGAAATCTTAGGTTGGGTGTTTTTCCTATTGAGGAGGACCCCTCTGGTTTAGATATTAGGTGTTTTTCCCGGAAATCTTAGGTTGGGCGTATTTTATGAGAGAGAGAGAGAGAGAGAGAGAGTAAAAAAAGGACTATTTAGTGAATGATTTGATACTCCTCTGTGTTCAACTGACCGGGCACTTGTATAGCGGCCTCGACTTGGAACCTATCTTCTCTAATTATTTGATATAAATCCATGAAAGACTTTGCGAATTTTACTTCCTGACGAATGAAAGAAAATTATAAGGATATCACCTTCATAACTAAAATAGAGTTAAAATATAATTCCCTAAACACATTGTATTACAGATGCGTAGGTATGAGAGGAACCAAAAAATACGGCTCCTAAAATTCCTCCAAGCCATGCGATTCTGGGCATGAGCACTTGAGGTTACGCATGAACTTCTCCCCAACTTAGTCGGTTTCCTCTCTAACAATAGATTCCAAGACGGTTTTAACTGTTGCATTCGCCCTCCTCCTAGCGCACGCTCCTCCGTTGTCATCTCCTCCAATCCTTCACCGTGCAATTTTCAGGCCATTTGGGGCCTTCATATGGGGCCCTTTGTCTCCTCCCTACCTCCTAGCGCGGCGCCACGCTTATAACTAAAAATCCATCGCGTCGCCCTCTCCATCTCCTCTAAGAAATGAAGTCGTATAGTCTTCAGGTAAATTTACTTACACTTTATGATGTTCGGAGTAACAATGTCTTCTTTGGACATGTTGCCGGTTATTGGGCCGGGCTGGAACACAAAATCGAGTTTCCATGTGTTGAAAATTAATAATTCACACTCTGCAGCATCAGTTCTTTTGATTAGACATGGTTCGAACAAACAACTCCAAAATACACGTTCAAAATTATATCCTAGTCATTACTTAGTTCCCAATCTTCCTAGAATTGGTTTTCCTATTAATTATATATATACCATAATTTTCGGAACTAGGGTTGGATGTACTTATTGGACGCCTTGTTCGTAGCTAGGGTTGTTCTCGATTTGCCCTAACACCGCCACGTCTCACGGTTGTCCTTTGTCGATCTATATGCCGAAGCAGCGTAGGGCTCCACCGGCGGAAGACGGCGCGCCAGTGCTCCGGCGGAGCGCGAGCGCGAAGCAGGCGTCCTCCCCGTCGCCGCTCAGCGTCTCCTCCTCCTCCTCCCAGTACCAGTCGGCGCGCGCCTCGACGTGCACGGCCAACGCGCCTGCCTTCGCGCGCCACAAGGCGCCGTCCATCAACTGCATGGCGGCCACCTCCACCGACACGCCGCCGGCCACCCCCAGGGGCACCAAGCAGCAGAAGCCCAAGTCGGCGTCGTACTCGTCGATGTTCTCCCCGAGGAAGCTCATGCAGCGGGCCTCCCGCGCCTTCCGCGGCAGGTCGTCCCGGCACAAGAGGAACTTGGCGGCGGACGTCGGCGAAGTGGACAGCCCCAGGTCGGTCGCCAGCAAGGGGTCTGACGCTGAAAGCAGCGTCTTTTCCTTGGACGATCAGATCACCGACGACGTCGTCGACGCCGGAGCCGCCTCCAAGCAGGAGGAGATCGTGCCGGAGAAGATCATACACGAGGCGAACCCGCCGTCGCCCGTGATCAATCAGCTGGCGCCCGTGGCGGAGGAACAGGAAGAGGCGCGCAATAACTCGCCGAAGAAGGAGGAAGCCGCCGCAGAGATGGAGAAGGAGGAGGAGGAGCCCAAGAAGGAGGAGGAGGTGCCCAAGGAGGAGGAGGAGGAGGTGCCCAAGAAGGAAGCTCCTCCTGCTCCGGATGACACCGTCGCCGAAGTGGACAAAATCGCGGCTGCCAAGAAGCAGCAGCGCGAGGATGAAATCAAGGCGGAGGTGGTGTGGAGGTTCCAGGGCTGCCGGGTGAGGACGTCGACGGGGAAGCGGTCGTTCGACGCTGACACGCCGCGGCGGCGGGAGTCGGCACGCAGCAACGAGGCGGTCGAGGAGGCGCGGATCAAGCTGCTGGAGCTGCGGCAGGTGAACAAGGTGAAGGCTCTCGTCGGCGCCTTCGAGACCGTCATGGACGACAACGAAAGCCCCGTCGCCGCCCGCAAGTCGCGGCTGAACCCCCACGCCTGAACTACATTCAACGAGCACGAAGCTCGATCGCGTGCGCTTCCTTTATCCCTGCTACTCTTTAATCACCCATCAACCCAATTTGTCGTCGTCGCCCACTTATCTATAATTACGGTACCGCTTATATTTTGCAAGGAGGAAGATGATGGAGGGGTTATTATGATGTAATAATAATAATGATCAAGGAGGAAGATGGTGTATTATACTTTAATACTATCATCAACACGATCAATGGTTTCTCCTACTAGCTTTGCGTTTCACTTTTTCTTTTGGGAATTTTGTGTGTTTTACTGCCGCTGCCGCATATGCTAATGATGGACAAATTCAAGAAAAAAAAACAATTAACAAAAGAATATGCCTTGTAAAAAACTAATGAAGCACAGTTCCGACTGTTCTAATTTTCTGAAGGCATAGATTGAATGAAAAATCGGTTGAAAAATATGTATAATACTTAAAATCACTAAGCTCCCCGGGCTTGAATAGCGATTTCAGGCGGCCTTCCCCCGTTTTTTATTTTTGAGGGGTGAACATAACTTTATTCATTAAATACGACAGTTTGTGGGATACATAAAGGATCATCGGGTTGAGGAAGCCACATGTGACGTCCCTAAACTAGATTAAGGGAAAACTTTGCTAAGCTATGAGAATCATTGTTAGAATGACGACCTTCATGTAGCATCGGTTTCGACTCGGTCTTCCCCATTCTTCCCTTTGTTAATTGGGCTTGTTGATCTTGTCGTTTTATGGGCCTTTTTAATCAGCATTGGAGGCATGGGCCTGGGCTATTTGTAAGTGGGACGGGATGACTCATTTGGTTGATGTTTTCCTTGCCTCAAAAAGAAAAAAGTGGTCGATGTTTTCCCTGGTCAAAGGCGGAGTGGCAGCTGGGAAACTACCTCCAGTTAACTCCATGAATAGGAATCTGGAGGAAGGACACGTCCATGCTGTCGCAGATCTCAGAGGATTCTCATCCAATGTAGCAGAGGTGGTGTCTCAGACTCTCATCCAATAGGAAGGTTAAAGCTTAGCTTAGCTATGATTTTGATTTCAAAAAAGCTTAGCTATGATTGAACCTCAGGCACATACTGTTGCCTAACTCTGTAGTCAAAGGTATATTTCTTCCCCAACGCCTCCTATTCCCTCGCTAACAGATTTGTTGATTACTACACTTCACTAGATCTTTCTCCTCCATTTTTTTTGAAATGATTTCTCCTCCATTTGAATGTTGCTGGAATGTACTACAGTACTAGTATCTAAGAGCTATTTATTTTATTTCCCTCTTTTATAGCTTACCATCTGTTTCTCCCCCACTGTATACGTATTTTCGTGTTGTTTCAAGCAGTGGCAAACCAACAAGGCTCAAGGGAGACACTGATGATGGCTAGCTCCCGACAATTCCCAATATATAGTGGCGCTAGTCTACAACTGCTTCATTGATCCATTTTGAAAAGAGATATGCTAGCTTCTGACCACAAGGACAAATGTAGCTAATGTTTGCAATCAAAGTGCAAAATTAATATCCTTAGCTACCACGCGCCCGCCAATTCATCGTCCTCGATCTCGATTGATCTGTTGGAATTAATATTTGCAATAAAACTCTTGTTTTCTAAAGAATTATTAGTCTTCAACTCCGAGAGAAACATCGGATCAATTTATTGTAATAGCTCCGATTATTATTACAATGAAATTTTAGAAGACTATTTAGCCAGTGACAATTGATGTCCCTCTAGGAAAATACCAGTTTTCAGTATTGCGACCATATGAGTTAGTATTGTCTAAATATGGCAGAGTTAGTACTGCAGTACTAATTCTAGTAATAAAAATCGGTACAGTGATCATACGAAAATGTAAATTGTTGCATGGCAAAATTAGCACATCTTGTATCCTGAATCGTGACATAAATTAGCACATTTTGTGTCCCGAGTTCGTGTGCAACGTCATGTGCTTTCTGCTGGGACGAGGACGACGAGGAGCTCCAGATGGTCGCATGTGTCACTGGCTACACCAGGGCCTGGATGGCACAGGCAGAGTGACACACCTGTATCTGATTGATTGTTACCTTAATCTTTCATCATGCATGTAAGTACTACGTCTCAGTCCATCTCATTGGACTAATACTACTCTACTCCACTAGTAGTCTTAGACTAGTCATAATGGGTAGTAATTTAGACTAGTAACATGCACATGTTACTAGTCTACGTTACAACCTCTATAGTGGGAGTAACGTATGTGTGGTGTCATGCAACATTTCATTTATTAGGTTGTAGACTCATCTTGTCTTGGTATGTGTGATATTACAGTAACTAGCTATGTTAGGCTGGTCACAGTGGGCAAGAACATAAGCTAGTAACTTACACACTTTTCTAGACTATGTTACTACCTCCATAGTGGGTAGGAACATCTACGTAGTGTCATGCAACGATGTATTTATTAGGTTATAGACTCATTGTTTTTTGAAGTGTGTGATGTTCCGGTAACTTAGCTAGTTACCACAGATTTTTTGTTCAAAAAGACTACCTGCCCAGCGAAAATGACAAAAAAGACTACCTTCAGATGAAATTGACAAAAAAGACCACTCCAGCCGTGGCGGCAGGCGCGCCAACCGACGCGTGGCACCTGCCGCCACGCCGGCAGGCGGCAGCACCTGCCGCCACATGCCCAGCGGGCAGCAGCCGCGTAACAGGCAACCAGCGCGCAAGACGGAACGGGGGGATTGCATGTCCTGCTTGTCGCCTAGTGGCGTGGCGGCAACACTGTTTGCATGCTGTTTCGTTTAGTCTATGTTTTGTTTCATCTGCGTTTTGTTTTGTCTGCATTTCGTTTCATCTGATAAATAATGCCACAAATTCGTATACCCTGTTGTTGATTCCTTGACATGCAGCATACTGTTTTTATAAATAATAATTGTTTATTTACAAATAATAATACGAGCCTCCGTCACGGGCCTCATCGTCGGCCTCCTCGCACCGGGCGATTCACCGTTGGACCTTTACCGTCGCGGGTCTCATCATCGGCCTCCTCGCGGTGGCCTCATCTCCCTGCGGACCTGCTCCGCCGCGGGCCTCATTGTCGGCCTCCTCGCGTTGGCCTCATCGCCCGACAGACCTTCGCCACCGCATGCCTCATCGTCGTCGTCCTCGCGCAGACATCATCGCCCGACGGACCTGCTCCGTCGCGAGCATCATATCAAAAACAGTGTGCTGCATGTCAAGGAATCAACAACAGGGTATACAAATTTGTGGCATTATTTGTGAGATGAAACAAAACGCAGACAAAACAAAACGCAGACGAAACGAAACGTAGCAGCATGCAAACGGTGCATGCAAACAGTGTTGCCGCCACGCCGCTAGGCGGCAAGCAGCACATGCAATCTCCCGTTCCGTCTTGGGCGCTGGCTGCCTGTTACACGGCTGCTGCCGCCTGGGCATGTGGCGGCAGACTGCCGGCGTGGCGGCAGGTGCCACGCGTCGGCTGGCGCGCCTGCCGCCACTGCTGGGGTGGTCTCTTTTGTCAATTTCATTTGAAGGTAGTCTTTTTTGCAATTTTTGTTGCGCAGGTAGTCTGTTTGGACAAAAAGTCGTTACCACAAGCACCTCTCTCTTCATTAAATATGTGTCACATAAGCAAAGTTGTATTGGAGTGTGTGATGTTACTCCTAAGTTCCTCCCCATTGTGACCAGCCTTACCACATGTCTCTTTTTTCTCATTAATTACTCGCCACATCATTTGTTTTGCCTAGAGATGTGTGATGTTACCATCTATGTTACTTCCACTGTGGTAGTCTTACTCATTACTAGCTAGCAGCTTTCTTGTCTGTACAGTATTCAAATTCTCACACTAAAATTTGCCACATAAGAAGTACATGAGTGTTTCCAAATTTTGCCATGCTTCAGCATATAAAAATTACTACATTTGTCATGCGACCTTTTCAACATTCCCTAATTTTTTTTTGCCATAACTCAGGACACAAAATGTGCTAATTTATGCCATGATTCAGGACACAAGATGTGCTAATTTTGGCGTGCAACAATTTGCATTTTCCTAAATTACAAGAGGAGCAAGCCGGAGGCATCGAGCAATTCTCTGATCTCGTACATAATTCCTTCTCTTCGGCGCTTCTTGGTCGTCATCTACATTCAGGCACCCATTGACGACTGCAGGTGTTCTACTTTCCTCCATTTCCCCATGTTTTTGTTGGGGATCGTTGCAGAAATTAAATTTCTTTTACGTATCACCAAGATCAATCTATGGAGAGACTAGCAACGAGAGAGAGGGGAGTGCATCTTCATACCCTTGAACCCTGTTCAAGAATTCGTCCGATTAACCAGTTAACTTGCCGATTAACCCCTACTCCTAGGGTCACCGAGTAGCCGATAAACCAATAAATCGTCCGATTAATTGATTAAATGGCCGATTAACTTGCCGATTAGCCTATTAATCCCCTAGTCGCTAGCAAACCGAGCAGTTACCAGTTAACTATTTCCTCAACAATGCCCTTGAAGATCGTGAAACGGAAGCGTTGCAAGAACGCGGATGAAGGAGTCATACTCGAAGCGATTCAAATCGCGGTTGATTTTGATCTAAGCGTCGAACAACAGCACCTCCGCGTTCAACACACGTGCAGCACGGGGACGTCTCCTCCTTCTTGATCCGGCAAGGGGAAGGAGAAGTTGGGGAAGAACTCCGGCAGCACGACGGCGTGGTGGTGGAGGAGCAGCGGTTCTCAGGCAAAGCTTCGCCAAGCTCAACGGAGGATGAGGGGTTGCTGGAGAGGGGGAGGGCTGCGCCTTGGATGAGGTGTTGCTGCCCTCCCTCCTCCCCTCTATTTATAGGGCGAAGGGGGAAGGGGGCCGGCCCCTCTAGATGAGATCTAGAGGGGGGCGGCGGCCAAGGGGAGGGGGCTTGCCCTCCAAGCCAAGGGAGGCGCCCCCTTTAGGGTTTCCCCCAACCCTAGGCGCATGGGCCCTAGGGGGGATGGCGCCCAGCCCACTTAGGGGATGGTT